TACCCTCCTCCCAGTTTGTTCTTGTCCAAATGCCACAGTGCTTGTCAAAGCCAACAAAACACTTTTTAAACACGAGTATTTTCATCCACCCACTCCTACATCCTTTTTCTCATAGCATTATTTACAGTCACCGTAAGATCTGACCATCCTCTTATTCTCCAGTAGTGTTTAGACCACTGTTGTAACTCCTGATTCAATGAGAGACCCCAGTCCTTTGGATTACCCCATTGAGCATCTTTGTACTTACCTTAGTGGTGGTGGTAGGTGGCATCAGGTCTACAGTTGAACCAAAATGTTACTCTACCTTTCACCATCTGCAGCATCTCCTCTATATTCAAAAGGATTGTTTTGAGTTGCTACCAGTCCAACTCATCAAAGGTCTTCCTCATTGTCACTGACCTGATTTTCCTAGTATGATGTCTTTTTTTCTAAGGACTGATGTTTACTTGGTGCTGGTGAGTGCCAGTTAGGCCACAGATTGGACTGGAGAAATGGTCATCTGAAATAACCAGTACCTGACTGGTTCAGTAGGAGCAGAATCTGAGGATGTTCGCCATCTGAGTCCTGCTTCTCTTGGTCATTGGTGTGGACCTAGGAAGACAGCTAATTCTGAGGAAGTCCAGCTGGGGAAGCAATTGGTTCTGGCACCAGATGTTCAGGAATACGATTTTCTGTTGGGGAAATTGACACGTACAGTTTTATTTAAGTGAAAATGTTGCAAAGTTGGGATTTAAATCTCCCTATTGAATTGACAGTTGTGATGACAGTTTAAACTTGTTTCAATTAGTAACCATATGGTAGTAAAAAAAATTCCGTTCCCACACCTGGAATACTTAACGCCTGTGACAGATGGGTGTCCTTTTTCCCCATCTCAAGAAGCCCTTCAAAGACTAAGGTGTCACAGTTTCTGGGGAATAAGAATGTACACACACCTGAATATACCAACTGAAAATTTAAAGCAAAATACTCAAGTGGTCTGTTTTACATTAGGGCAGGGAAAGTAAGTAGCAGGAAGGTGACTGAGCAGTATAAGATTTTAACATTCTAGATAGGTAACAGCCAAAGTTGAGGAAGAGGAAACCTGGATTGGGAGAAAATTTCTATTTCCTCCAAATTTTGTTCCTTTTCATCCCATAGTACGGATTGTAGCAGGAAGCAAATTGTCCTGGGATTACATTTCTTTCACGTTTTAGAAGAGATCTTGAAACCCCTTATCTCTACGGGGATGGGATGGTTGTTGAGGTGCCATCAAGTCACACTTTGCACAACAGAACCCTGGCTTATCCTGTGCCATCCTCAGTCTGACAGGCTCAAGCCTACTGCTATAGTCACTATGTCAGTCCACCTGCTCCCTCCCCAACCTTTTCAAAGTTTGATGTCCTACTCCAAAGAATAACCTTTCCCAGCAACATGCCTAATGAATGTGAGACAAAGTCTCATCACCCTTGCCTCCAAGGAGCACTTTGGCTGCACTTTTCCCAAGACATAACTGTTTGCTCTTTTGGAAGTCTATGGAATCTTCAACACTCTTCTCCAAGACCACAGTTCAAAGGCATCAATTTTTCCTCTGTCATCCTTAATCATTGTCCTATAGCAAGAGATGGAAAAGACAGCCTGAATAAGGCACATGCACCTTTTGTTAAGAATGCAAGGGTTCTTTGTGCAGTCAATTGGCAATAAGGATCCAAAGCATTTTCTTGCAGATCTGGGAAAGCAGAATCCGCTCAAAAACTGCCTCACCATCTAAGGTGGTCATTGGTTTTTATACTTGGGGTAAGTGTTAATATACTTAACATGTTTCTATTGCTAGCTCTAAGCTACAGGATTTTTTTCATTCAAAGAAAAGTTTACATATGGTTAGTATTAGACAACTTTGTGATACAGTTTATATATGATTAAGAAAAATGCATATTACTGCAAAAAGGTAAATGCTAATTCAGGAAAGAGGCATTTCCCATACTGGTAAACAGCTTAAGGTACTGAGAAAAACACTTTAGGATTCTTACATGCAATTTCTACTTAGCACACACCTGGAGGTACAGTTTACAAATAACTAAGAAAAGACAAATGCTAATTCAATAAAAGATATGCATCTTTTTTCTCTTCGTGGTAAACAGCTTAAGGTACAACAGGGTCTGAGGACCAAACAAATGTTAATTAGAGGGTTCTACCAGTTTTGCAGGCTGGAGGTATATGATGTCAGTTTTACAACTATATCATATGTTTGAATAATCTTGAAAGGGAGCTCTGGCAGCCTAGTAAGAAGCTGTGCTGCAATCCCAAATACGCCACAGGATGGGGAATCTCTTCCCATGTGATTAATTGTCTCTGAACATCCACTTGGAGGGTCAGCTCTGGGTCAGTTCTGACTCGACGGCACACTATAACAACAACCCTATCACCTTAGTTCTCAAACTAGCATAATTGCTCCTCAATAATGTGGAGAGGTTCCTGACTGCAGACTTGCACAATGCAATTCATCTCCTAACTGCAGATATCAAGTGTATTGATTGCAGATCAAAGTAAAAGGAAGTTATTGATAGTTCCAATCTTTTCTCTGTCTATTATGATGTTGGCTATAGATCCAGTGGCAAAGATTTATTTTATCTTGATGTTGACATGCAATCCATATTGAAGCCTGCAGTGTTTAACCTT